TCTTTCACAGATCTTTTCTGGCTAGGGAGCTTACCAATAAATACTCAAACATATTTTGCATGTGTTTAGAGTTTCACAGTATTTATCAAGTGCTTCTCTATTCATGAGGTGAGGCCAGTAGGGCAGACTTTTTTTTTTATAAGGTCTAGATTTGCAATAAAAGCTTTATTATTAGTTGATGGATAGGCTCGTGAAAGTGTATGTTTATATAAACTTCTTTTACTAGTTATGAAAATGTAAGTGTAAGGAAACACAACCTGATAAAGAACAATTTTGAGGCTGTCTGCGGAGGTTAAGAACATTTTTATTGTGTTGTAATTTTCTAAATTACAAAGTGTAAGTTCAGTGAAATTAAATGACACATTCATAAGAGGCAGAGATGAATTTGATGCTTGTCTATTAACTTGGGTCCATTACTGTAATGTTCAGATTTGGCCTAGGCCCTTGCATATCTGCTCAGATGAAACAAGCATAGGAGTGAAGTGTCAGGTCCGAGAAAACACATGTGTGTAACTGATTCCAGAATTTGTGAGCACATGGAGTTGGATGAAGATTCCATGTGCACTTGGAGAATTTAAATTAAGTTCTATGAGAAGGAAAACATATAAAATAAATGAATATCAACAGGAAGTTAATACACAACTCATTTATATATCACTCTGCAGTTTATAAACCATTTCCTCAACCATTATCTCAATTGAATGTATTTCTTTACATAGCTATGAAAGTTGCATTATTTAAGAGTCAAAACATTTCAAAACACCTGAAGGCAGCTAGTTAGTATGATTAACATGTAATTTGATGTAAGAATATTTATTTATGCACACTTTATGTCATTATTATTACCGTTCACAGAGGAGAAAAAGTATAGAAACTGCTTGAAATCACAGCCTAAGATAGGAGCAAAAGAAACTAGAAACATATCTAGAAATGCAATCACATAGCCCTTTTCCCATGTACTTGATGTTCTGGCTGTGGGAGGTTCAAGCATGAATTGGCAAGAAGAGGGGAGAGACATGGAAAGAGGACAGGAGGGAAGTAAAAGCTGCACTAATAGAGTAGCTGGTGTGCTTTCTGAAGACGGGGGTTTAAGAAAAGATTTGTCACCTTTTTTTCACTTTCCTACTCTGCAGTTTTTTGAAGTTCAAAAGAGCATGCTGCCAATAATTCTTTTTTGTTACCCAAATTCCCAAGCTTTGACCTACTGTGAACTACTGTGACTTGCCTCTCACCTAGAGCATGCCGATTGGCATTATTCTGGGCAATAAGGGAAACGGTACTAACTTCTTCACCATAGAGTCAGTGGTGGACAGGATCTTAAGTGTCACCTCTCCTACTAAACACGTTCTCTTCCCTTTTCTCCTTTCTCTCTTTTCTTTTATCTTCCTTGATCTCTGCTTCACATTCACNACTTCTTCACCATAGAGTCAGTGGTGGACAGGATCTTAAGTGTCACCTCTCCTACTAAACACGTTCTCTTCCCTTTTCTCCTTTCTCTCTTTTCTTTTATCTTCCTTGATCTCTGCTTCACATTCACCTTTTTTCTTTATTCTATGATCTAAACTATTGGCAACTTCTTGTTGAATTGCACGACTATAAGAATCATTGGTTCATCGTTGACATCCTCTTCATACTTGTGCATTGGTTTTAGTATTTTACATTTAGTAAAATTTGAGAATGATTTCCAGATATATGTTATGGCATTATTACTATTCATTTCCAGATATATATTATGGCATTATTACTATTCATTTATTACTATTTTACCTTTTTGACTATTTTACATGAGTTGTATAATGAGTTTAGTAAATTGTTCAAAGATTAGCAAGCTAGTAATCAATACCCCGAGGAGTGTTAGAGTTAAGACCATGACTACTAAGAGAAATCCAATAAGACAAAAAATTGCCCTTTATTTAACTAAACAGCAAGAACATAGAGGTCATCTCTCTGTCAGTGGAAAACTGGACTATAAAATTCTGACAACCTATTATTGGCTGTTGTCGCCTGTTCCAATGGCAGATCTGCCTGGCTAGCTCCCAGGGGCATGAACTGTGCTGTTCATGGTGAATTAGGTGATGCTGAGCAAGAGGCTAGCAAGAGGTTTGTAATTCAAGTGGACATAAGGAGAAGCTATCAGTGATTTTAGCACCTTCTTTGAATGAAATGACTAGACTTGATGCAATAAAAGATCAAATTCAATATGTTAGACTCATTTTTTAAGAAACATGAAGATTTATATATGTTTTAGAGTTCTTTTAAAGTTGTTTTAATCGCAAAATTACACATGGTCATTATAAAAACAATCTCACCAAATTTATAACATAGTGAGTCTTCTCTTTTTCTCTCCTAATTTCACTTTACAGAGGTAACTACAGTTATCAGTTTGATAAATATCCTTCTCAATATTTTCTGTGCATATATAACCACACACACATATGGGATCAAACTAAACTTACTAATATGCAAACTTGCTCTTTTCACTTAACATGAGTATTTTTTCATATGCGTACATATGTATTTACCTCATTCGCTTTATTGCATTCTTCCTATTATCAATATATTGTTGATGAATACTTAGGTTACCCACTTGTGTTGCTATTATAAAAATAGTGCAATAAGCATCCTTGTACAAAAAATTATCTTAATCCTGTGCATTTCTCTGTAGGGTAAATTCAGATAAGTAGAACTTCTGGTTTAAGGGTAATCGCTAATATTTTTAATTTGTCCATGGCTTTTTGAGATGCCATTTTGGAATTTAGTCTGTGAAGAAGCAGCACACACACACAAAAATGTTATTTTTATAATAAAGGTAATTTCTTTACCATTGCAGACCAAATTTGCACCAAAAGTAGTATGGTTCTGTTTCCTCCTGGACGTACAAAATTCCATATACCTAACAATTTTAAGATCAAATTCAATATGTTAGACTCATTTTTTAAGAAACATGAAGATTTATATATGTTTTAGGGTTCTTTTAAAGTTGTTTTAATCGCAAAATCACACATGGTCATTATAAAAACAATCTCACCAAATTTATAACATAGTGAGTCTTCTCTTTTTCTCTCCTAATTTCACTTTATCAGTTTGATAAATATCCTTCTCAATATTTTCTGTGCATATATAACCACACACACATATGGGATCAAACTAAACTTACTAATATACAAACTTGCTCTTTTCACTTAACATGAGTATTTTTTCATATGCGTACATATGTATTTACCTCATTCACTTTATTGCATTCTTCATATTATCAATATATTGTTGATGAATACTTAGGTTACTCACTTGTGTTGCTATTATAAAAATAGTGCAATAAGCATCCTTGTACAAAAAGTTTTCTTAATCCTGTGCATTTCTCTGTAGGGTAAATTCAGATAAGTAGAACTTCTGGTTTAAGGGTAATCGCTAATATTTTTAATTTGTCCGTGGCTTCTTGAGATGCCATTTTGGAATTTAGTCTGTGAAGAAGCAGCACACACACACAAAAATGTTATTTTTATAATAAAGGTAATTTCTTTACCATTGCAGACCAAATTTGCAACAAAAGTAGTATGGTTCTGTTTTCTCCTGGACGTACAAAATTCCATATACCTAACAATTTTGATTCTCCTCTCTGTGGAGAATCAAAACAGAATCAAGACAGAAAAACAGTATTTTTAGCCAAGCCACGTATATCTTAAATTTTCTACGAATGGAACTATCCAGGGAGGCAAGAGATCAGGAGGTGTGGTAGATAGAGCCTTTCTCCTTCTCACCGGACAAAGTCCCTAGATCCATGATCTATTCCTAGATCTTTGCCGCTTTGTGAAATAGTTGAAAACCATGGTATCCCTTTAATCTTTTCTCAGCCTTTATGCTACGAACAGTGGATTTTTTAAATAGAAAATCATTTTTCCCATTGAAAATATCACTTTTATATCCTCCGCTTTGTGAAATAGTTGAAAACCATGGTATCCCTTTAATCTTTTCTCAGCCTTTATGCTATGAACAGTGGATTTTTTAAATAGAAAATCATTTTGCCCACTGAAAATATCACTTTTATATCCCCTTTTAGGGCTGGGCGAGGACTTTACGGGATTGACAGTATGCCAGATCTTCGCAGGAAAAAAACTTTGCCCATTGTCCGAGATGTGGTAAGTTACTCCTGTTTAATTCTCTCTGATGGCATGTGTTGACATTTTCTTTATTACAATGTAATGTTTTCCTTCTCATTAACTGCCTACCCCATAAGTATTTCGTGGAATAAAATATATGAGGCTAGACTCTTTATATTTGTTATTTCTTTAAAATCTAATAGATGGAGGAAATAACTCTAATCTTTTGACAGCTTTTCATATTACTTGAGTTGACAAACTGAGTTAAAATGACACTATAATGGAGCAAAAAGAAATCATGCAGTATGCCAAGCGAGCTGCTGCAAGTGGGCTTTCACATGTTCAAGGTTGTGCATGAGCATGAGTTTAATTTGGAATGTTTAAGGCTTGATTTGAACTTCTTCACCTTATCCCAGTAGACTTGAATACTTTATAAACCAAGCAGATAATATTAATCAATTCTTTATTCTAGTATATTAAGGTCAATTCTAGCCAAATTAATAAGCTCTTATATACCTAAAGAAAATTATGGTTCCCAAATCACTGAAATCTTTATTAGTCCTGATCATGACTCTGAATAACTCATTCTCCTATAAATACATATGCCAGAGACCACCTACAAATGCAAAGAATTGATAATGATCTGTATTAGATTGTAGGAAAAATAGCCCATCAGCATGGAAAAAAGTGTTTTCTATCATCTGAAATGTCTTCACATTTTTCTATAGAAATATTCTTACTAGCTTATGACATGAAAAATGTATTTTCCTCCAGAGAAACACAAATTTCCCTTTTAGTACAATGTGCATAATTTCTCCATTTCAGTAATTTTTAACATTACTAAGAAAACCTTCATCTGAAGGCCATCACTTTGTTTTTAAACTATGATCTTGACTGGAAAAATCTTATACTGGAAAGCATGACATGTCAGTATAATTATATCAGATTCCTGTAGTTATAGTGTGGACATTATGTTAAAGTGTTAAGTTAATTTAACACTGTTATACTCTTTCCCCACCTTTCATATGTCTAATTATTTACACTTTGTTTCCTCTCACTCCTGGAATCTTCAGGCCATGGTAAGTGCTTTTCAATTTATGTAATTAATATTTGTCAATCTTCTCAAACATACACTGCACTTACTCATGGGGTAAAAGGGGCAAGACGGGGAAATGAAAAGACAAAGGCATACAAGAAAAAGAAGTTTGGGTTCTCCAAGAATTTAACATCTTGTTCAATTCTGAAAGACAGACCAAATTATGTATACAACCAAATTATGTAATACAAAAAACTAAAATAGGATACAAGCATAATTTTAGGGACAGTACTTATCAGAGATGGGAGATCATCTTGGACATAAACCTTCTATAGGTTGACATGATGAGGTGGAGATGGGTGGAGAGTGACTTCCTTACTTGGGAATGTGTGAAACTTGATCTGAGTACATGGCTTTGTAGCCATGAAGAGATATATCAGTATTTATGACCAGATGGGACTGGGGACAATCAGGAATGCATTATTCCACTATGGCTTCCTTTTGCTACTAATGGGATTGCAGATTTAATATTCCCATCTGGATCTTATGATTTTTAAAGTTCTCTGTATCACTGCCAAGTTAATTATATCACATGTGTTTCGGGTAAGAGTAGCTGATGATGGTTCTATTTTACAGGTGGGAAAACTGAAGGGACTTGTCTCTTATTTAAGATCACCCAAGTTACCAGGATTGAGTGAGATAAATGAATCCAGGAATAATGATTCTCAGTAGATAAAATAGGCACCTGGAAGAAAATATCTTGCCTAGATATGCAAGAATATTCTAAAGAATAAACAAAAGACCATCAAGCAACAATTGTGATTCAGGGCTACATGAGGCTGGGTCTGTATAGATGGTCATGTCTTATAAAGAAATGTAAGCATGACTACCTTGGGGAATGACAATGTTCTAGAAGCCTCCTGTTAGCCTGGAAACCTTGGGCTGGTTATCTTGCCTTGCTGGCCCTCACTTTTATCATCTGGATCTTTTCCAGATTTGATGTTCTATGATTTCATGTTCTGGATGAATCCACTGACTACTGAAAATGGCAGGTGTCTGTTGACAAAAACATGAACAGTGATAGCCAATATGCCTATATTTCACGATTTACTAAGCAATATGTACATGGAACCCTCCCCTTTCAATAAGTCATAATTCTGTTTCTTTTAGACCTTGGCTGCCCGGAAATCTGGTCTCTCCCTGGCTATGATGATTAGGACATCATTAAACAATGAGGAACTGGTAGGTGCAGTGTCAATTACTAACTATGTATTGATTGATCACAGTTGAAAGAGGAAAACCATTCTGCTTGAACTACTCATTTGTAATGTTTATTCCAGTGTCCAAGGAATAACTGGGAACATGGGGAAAGCCTGACCCCAAACAAACTTCCTTAGGGCCTCAGCTTCACTACCACAACAAATTATCCTCTACTCTTCAAATATGCCTGCACCTTCCCATATTTGGAAATGCTATTCTATTCTAACATAACTGTTATTTTCCCCCTGGAAAAATCCTAGTAATTTTTTACACTTAAGGTTTAAGTTTTACCTCTTTTATAAAGCTTTCCCCAAACACCCCCCTCTCCTTCTGGTTAAAGGATTAGTGTCTTCCTCTGGGCTTTTAAAAAAGCATTTCATTGTGACCTCCATAGTGTAGCATGGTTAAGAGTAAAAACTGCTTGGTGAGTCCCATCTCTGGCACTTAATTAGCATTGTTGTATCCAGCCAGTTGTGTTAATTCTCTGAACCTGAGTTCCTTCATCTATAAAGGATTAAAGGAATGGATAATTGCTTAGCATTCAGCATAGCCTAGGGCACAGTAAACAATATATCTGTGTTGTTATTTTTATTATTTGTTATTACAATTAATTTGGCTATTTTGCAAAAACCTTTTCTGATATCCTTAGGGGTAGCACTATATCCTGTTTGTTGTTCTTTTTAAATGTTTTCCTCACCATTGCTTAGTACACTGTCCAGCATGAGGTCAGGTCAATGCTTTGTAAATTTTTGTTGAATGAAAGAACCAACCTGATTAGAAGATACAAGTAGGCTGCAAGTATCTAGGTCAGAGATTCTTACATCTGACTCATTAGAACACCTAAGAGAGCTTTAAAACTGGGGTCTCACTCCCAGCAATTCTTATTAATTGGCTTCAGATATAACCTGGGTATAAGGCATGGTTAAAACACTCCCAGTGTTTTTGCCTTTGATGTTGTGCTGTGGTCACTCCATCCTGCACACTCTGCTGGGGATTTACTTGAGACAATCTATCTGTGCCCTCCATTATGGGAATTAATGTATCCTACCTCTCTCAATTTTAGTGACTTTGTCATTCTTATAGAATAAAAGTTCTGCCAATATTACATTACTTGTTTTAACTTTCTATACTCTTGACATTTAGACACCATTACTTACATCTGTATTTCTTTTCCTCTTCTTCTTTTCACTGTCATCTTCCACCTAAAAATCATCCTGTCCTAGGTCTTTCTATCTCCCCACCCCAATACACATGTACCCATCCAGAAGTATGAAAGGTTGGAGAGGCCATTAATATTCATTGAGCATGTTCATTTGAGTATCTGGGAACTACAGCAAGTTAATACATTTTCTATTGTGCCACAGGATAAAAAAATGTGACTACATTCCCGGAGTCTTATTCTTATCTTTTAGATTTGTGATGCCATGTATTATTTTGAATATAGTTTGGATACAAGAGAAAGTAAACATCCTCTGTGTGTAAGGAAGCCCCATATTACTTGCTGAATCTCGAAGCATCTAGTCTTTTCCTTTTGAGGAAATAATCAATATTAAAGAATTTTATTTATAATCTCCTGCACTGTTTCTTCCTCACGTTTTAAAATATGGTAGTTGATTTGAACTACTACTGTTCATTCTCATGAAAAGTTAACAGAAAAGCAATAGAAATTAGTGGAATGCAACTGTATTTTCTGAGGCCCTGAACAGGAAGCACATCCTCAATTTATGGTTAAATTAGCTATGGGTCTACTTTCAGCAACTTAAAAATATCACTTTACTTCTTTAGTTTCAGGAAGCCTAAGTAAAAGACTTCTCTGTGTGGGTGTTGAGTGGATGAATAGAGTCCATTCACTCCCGCTAAAATTCATAAAGCCCTTTTCCCTGGGGCCAATGTCTAAAAAAGTAAATGAAATATGACTTCTGTACAACAGGCATATTAAATGTCATTCTGACAAGCTGTCACATTCAGTCATTACATGGGCAGCTAACAAATGCTGAAGCAAATATTTTCTACTCCTTGGTGCCAAAAGTGTTCCTAGGCACCCAAGATGCGGAAGCATGAAATATTTGCTTTTACATGAAAGAAAATGGGTTGGCCACCTGGAAAATACCAAACAGTAGTACTTCTATTTTATTTAAAAAGATGTACAGTAAAAAGCTCAGTCATCTCTTCCAAGAAAAGGGCTCGAACATCTGATGCAAGATGACAGCAGCTAAGCCTGCACTGCCACCACTGACACTCTGTTAATGAAGCACTGCCAGGTGCCCCCACCCATCACCAATTGCAGCTCACCCATAAGAAGCTGTTGAAGCTGACTGGAAATCTCAGTATAATAAACCATTAAAGACTTTGGTTTCTAGAAATTTCCACATGGCTTAATAGCACAGGAAGGGATAAGCAATCTAGAATCCATATACCACAACAATAGTCTGCTTGGCACCATACTGTCCATCTTTGTGCTTGCTTTCACAGAGTGATAGTTTCTTGAGTGTGTACCCAACAGTGGGGAAATCAAAGTAGATCCATTCAGTAATTCAAAACATACCTATTGACTGCCTATTATGTGTCAGGCATTATTTCAGACTCCAGAAATAAAGGAGTGAACAACTCAGCTAAAAATTTTTGCCTTCATGAAGCTTATAATATAGTGGGAAGTGGGCTGACATGATATGTTTTGTACCTACTCTTGCTATAAGTTCTAGTGGAAGCTTCTAGTAGATGGGAGTGTTTAAACCAAGGATTTCTCAGGTGAAGGTTATGAGAAACTCAGAGCAAGGAATCCAAACCACCAAGGCTAAACGGGATTCTAGAACCCTGTTTGTTCTACCTGGGTTGATGGGCATGTTTAGGGGAGCTGGTCTAATGGCAGGCTTTCAGGAAGTGTCAATTCTCAATAAGGGCAGGTTTGTCTAGGGGAGTGGGGGTCCTTCTTTCAGTTACAGGATTCAGGCCCAATGGAAGGGACTGACAAGAACTAAGTGAGGGGTGTAATCAGGAGATCAGACCTGAGCCCTATTCCTAGCATGACAATAGAAAAATAACGAGGAAGAAGGAACCAGGTCAGAACACCTTTCTGATGTCCGGGTTCATTCAGGAAGCTGCAGACTCCTGATGAGGAACAGGAACAGTTAGCATGACAATAGAAAAATAACGAGGAAGAAGGAACCAGGTCAGAACACCTTTCTGATGTCCAGGTTCATTCAGGAAGCTGCAGACTCCTGATGAGGAACAGGAACAGTCAGGACAGTGGGGCAGGGACTTTTGGTCAGGTCTCTGGAGTACCTGCTGAGTCTAGTGCCACCCTGTCACCTTTGCAGCTGAGCATCAGTCCAGGGAGAATTGACTTGGGAACCGGCCAAATTTAAAGATCATCCTTTTTTACAAGTATTGCTATTGGTCCTAATCCTATCCTTCCTCACAAGCACAGTCTTCAACTTGATATACATGTTTGTCCAGCTCCACAACTTACTAGCTGTGGGATCATGGCAAGTTACTGAAACTCTCTTGGCAATGGTTTCTCATATGTTTACTAATTATATAATATTTTTGCATCTATGTTCATAAGTGAAAATGGTCTATGGTTTGCTATATCCTTGAACAAGTTTGGCATCGATTTTCACCCAGATTAATGAAATGAGCTGTGGAGGTTTCATCATCATCATCATCATCATCATCATTATTATTATTATTATTATTATTTTCTTCTCTGGAACAGTTTGCATAGAGTAAGTTGCTGTACCTTGAAGGACTGGCAAAACTTGCCTCTAAAACAATCTAGACTTGATGCTTACCTTGAGGATGGTTATTTGACTACTGATTCAATGTATTTAATGTAAAAATTATACCCATGTTCTTTAAACATTTGTTCTTGAGTTGATTTTGATCTTTTTATATTTTTTCCAAAAAGTTGCCCTTTTTTCCTAAAATTTCAATTTAGTAACATCAAATTGTTAATATGATTATATTATGACTTATAAAAGCTTGTGCCACTTTTATTCTATTATTATTTGTTTGTATTTTCTTTCCTTTGATAAATCAGGACTGCAAGAAATTTCTCTGTTTGCTTTGTTGACTCCATATGGTTTCTTCATTTTCTGTTTTGTTTATTTCTGCTCTTGTATTTTTAAATTCATTCTCTACTCTTTGTATTCACTCGGAAAGTGTATCTCTATCTTATATAATTGAATACATAGTTTATGGATATTAACTGTTTTTATTAACTATTGCATACACACAAAATAATATTTACAGTGTAAGTGAAGGGAGTAAATAATAATAATTATTATATACCCATGGATCCATTTCTGAGACATAAGTACATAGTAAATATTAGTTATTATTTTTATTATTAACTATTTTTCACCACATCATTTCCCATGCTCTATGATTGGCTTTGCTTGGTTACACAACAGGACAATGGAATGAGCTCTACTTGGGAGGGATGGTCACCTGTTCCCTACCTTCCTTTTACAGTATCCTAACCTTTCTTCCTACTCTTTCATGGCCTGTGTCAGAAGATTTATAAGAGCTCAGTCTCCATCCAAAGTGACAAAAATTAGATTTCCCACATTAAAATGTCTGAGGTTTCTCCCACTGGAGGAATTCACATTATTTTTGGCCTCTTATATTTAACAAATGAACTGTCTCATACCACTTCCATTATTTACATATTCATTTTTATTGAAAGTTCAAATTGGGGAAAAAATGACATTTAAAGGATGTTACAAATTTATCGTAATATGTTTTCAGATCATGTTCCGTGCCACAACAGAGGGCATATCCTATATTGTGCTCTCCTTCAATTAGTGAACCTTCCATTCTACCATCATTCTGTCCTCTTTATTTGGACTTACCTCATAGTTACTTGGGACAATGATAATTAGTATCTGTTATAAAATGGTAGAAGTAAAAGCAAATTACCTACATTCTTACATAGAAAGGCACGTAAATTTTAGTCTCTGTATTTTTTCCTACAAAAAAAA